ATTGTAAAATGTTCAGCTCATCTGATCCTGTTTCCTTTGGATGCTGTGCTGTTGGAGTAGTCACATTGTTTTCTGCTCTTTGCAGTTCAAACTTTGCAAGGTTCGATCTGTGCAGTTTGGACAGAAGGGAATCCCATATCTCAACACTTATGATGGAAGAACAATCCGCTACCCTGATCCCCTCATCAAGGCCAATGACACCATCAAGCTGGACTTAGATTCCAATAAGATTGTTGACTTCATCAAATTTGATGTTGGTAATGTGGTCATGGTTACTGGTGGTAGAAACAGGGGGCGTGTAGGAATTCTTAAGAATAGAGAGAAGCACAAGGGTAGCTTTGAGACAGTTCACATTCAGGATTCCCTGGGGCATGAGTTTGCTACCCGTTTGGGGAATGTGTTCACTCTTGGTAAAGGTAGTAAGCCATGGGTGTCTCTACCTAAGGGTAAAGGTATCAAGTTATCTATCATTGAAGAGGCTCGCAAGAGGATGGCTACTCAATCAGCTACAACTGCTTAAAAATGATAGGTTGAACTTGAGATGAATTTAATAGATTGGGCCATGTTTCTCTTTGTTTAGAGGGATGCCATTCTTATTCTGTGTGTTGCATTTCACAATCTGTGTACTCGGTACTGATTTACTTGCCTTTTTTTGTCGGGAAAAAAGGTAGACTGAGTTGAGATCAATCAGTTGCCTTTTATGTGATAGTATTTTATTGCGACAGAGTGAGTTTAAGGACCTTGTCCATTAGTATATTCACTTATTTCAAAATGAGTTTTTGGTTGTAATATTTTCAAATCTAACCTGGAGTTGGATTCCAAATTTTGTTTAGTGCAGTATACCTGATTCCTAATTTCATTTTCATAAACTTCATATAAAGTGGGCTCTTTTGTCCTGCAAATAGTATAATCAAGCATAACTGTCTAATTTGATAAATTTTCGGAATCTATTTCCAAATGATTTTTGATTTCGATGTAATTTTGTTGTTCAATTTGTTAGCGAGTTGTTTCACTAGAGTTAAAGTGAGAAGTTTAGTTATAAATTATTTAGCATATCACTTAAGTATTAATGACACTTGATAATGGTAACATAATCCATTTTTTATTATTAACGGTAAGGGAAAGTGGAAATTGCACATTCTCACCAACAAGATGAAAGTTTTCGGTCAAAGTTATTTATGCTTGTCTAGATGCAATTAGTTTTCTAGTGACAACTCTTTAAGGCAAAAGATCAACTAAAACTATTTAGTTCATAAATAGTGATTTTATTTCTGCTAATTTAAGTGTCCAAATCCATTTTATGTATAGGTGTTAAGATTGAATACAAAGTTTAAAGAAATTATCTCTGAAAATCGATGATATGAAAAGTTTGACATGTCTATTCATTTTCCTTTTTATAAAAAAAAAAAACTTCAATATCAAGTGGGTGCTTTGCAAAACAAAAATGCTGAACACCGTAGTAAGTTATATTTGGCACAAAACGAACACTTAGTAGACATAAAAATGCACTACTAGGTACGCCTTAGTAGAAATAAACATGGTGTTTAACGAAAGAGCAAATAGAACCTAACGGTAAACTCTCACGTCAATTCCATCACAATAGTAAATTGTTGCCTGTATAACAAAATAGAATGTTATACTTGGTTTTCAAGCTAGAAATAAGGAGATGCATCCTATTAGGTGTATTTACTACCAAATTCAAAGTCTCATTACATAGCTTGAACATCATTATTTCAGATAAATATAGAGGCTATGTTTGTTGGGCCGCATAAACGAAGTTACTCAGCCCGTGTAATTTGTTCGATAAATAAGGCCCATATTCTGGGTGATTTAGATGGCCCAACATGCTTTAGGCCCAAAACAAATTGGGTATGTACTATAGTATTTAAGAGATTGTATCTTCATCTCGTTAGGGTTTAAGACACACACCTCTCGCCGGTAGCCGTCACTCGCGGCAGCTAATCAGTCGGAAAACCGCCAAAATGGTTTATTTTCTTCTCTCTGTGTTAATTCATCTCGTCAAGTTTGTTTAGCTTATTGTTTGTTGCCTGATAGATCAGTTGTATTTTAGTCTTCATGGCTTTTGTTCCAGTTCTAGACTGTACTGTATCAGTTATACCTTTGCTAATTGTTTGCTATATGCGTAATGCATCTAAGACTATATTTTTGGATGTTCCTTTCGATTTATGCGCTCAAATGTATGTGTTGATCTCAAGTGGTGCTGGTTAATTTTAGGGCTCGTATGTGAAAATAATCAATTGCATTATGTTCCTTTCGATTTATGCGCTCAAATGTATGTGTTGATCTCAAGTGGTGCTGGTTAATTTTAGGGCTCGTATGTGAAAATAATCAATTGCATTAGTTACTGTCGCCAATAGTGTATTCAGTTTTTTTTTTTAATTGTATTTTGCTGTCATTGTGATTGCTGTTGCACTCTGTGTTGTACTGTATCCTACTGGATTGTTTCAATGAATACAACATTTGGATAATTTTATGGTTCTACAGATAGAGCTACTTTAAAAAGTTAATTTTAATACAAAATAAGATTTACTAAATAATTAGTAAAGACATAGTGAGAAAATAAATAAATCAGACCAAATTGGTCGTTACACAAAGTGAGACCAATACCTAACTGTTGATTTAATGATAGCTTAGGATTTGGACATTGAAATTGTGTAGTATAGTTCAAGTTGTTGACTAGATGTTTTGAAAAAATGTTCTTTACCTTTGTGAAAGAACATGCTTCTAGCGTTGTTTGACATGGATAGATTTTAATAAAAAGCTGTGGAATAGCTCCCCTTTTTATTTTTGGTAAATTGACTTTTGTTCTTTCAGCTTTCATTTATATAAGTGGTAAGATTTGTGCATTTGGGCTTTTGAAACATTATACTAAAGTGAATTTCATAACTTCTTCTCTATATATAGGCAAGAGGGTTGAAGAAACATTTGAAGAGGCTCAATGCGCCTAAGCATTGGATGCTTGATAAACTTGGAGGTGCTTTTGTAAGTGACATATCTTCCCCTTAGGTCTTTGTTTTAATAGTACTACTTAGTTTCCTGCTTCTTGACTTTACTGTTCTCTTTGGTCTCTACTGCAGGCTCCCAAGCCTTCTTCTGGTCCACATAAATCAAGGGAATGTTTGCCATTGGTTATTATCCTTAGGAACAGGTTGAAATATGCTTTGACATACCGTGAGGTCATTTCTATCTTGATGCAACGCCAAGTTATGGTTGATGGGAAAGTTAGGACAGATAAGACTTACCCTGCTGGTTTCATGGGTAAGAACACCTCCATTAGATTGTTTTTCATTTCAAAACCTTTAGATTTATGCTCTCCTTATTTCTGTAGTGCCTAGGATTGTAATCTTACTGATTCATCTATGTACACATGCTTTCACAGTTCCAAAGACAATTGTTTATCAGAGTGTCTACAAGTTTTTTCATCAAAAAACATTTTGTCTTGTGTCCTTTTTTCTTCTTTTTTTCTTGTTGCTATGTTTGTTGAGTTCCTTGACAAATTGGTAATGCGGTTATTTTCTTTGTGTAGATGTTGTTACTATTCCAAAGACTAATGAGAGTTTCCGACTTCTTTATGACACTAAGGGTCGGTTCCGTCTCCACTCACTCAGAGATGAGGAAGCCAAGGTTTGAACCTATTTCCTGCTCCTTCTTTATTCCGGATTCCTTTGGATGCTGTGCTGTTAAAGTAGTGACCTTGTTTTCTGCTCTTTGCAGTTCAAACTTTGCAAGGTTCGATCTGTGCAGTTTGGACAGAAGGGGATCCCATATCTCAACACTTACGATGGAAGAACAATCCGCTACCCCGATCCCCTCATCAAGGCCAATGACACCATCAAGCTGGACTTAGATTCCAATAAGATTGTTGACTTCATCAAATTTGATGTTGGAAATGTGGTCATGGTTACTGGTGGTAGAAACAGGGGGCGTGTTGGAATTCTTAAGAACAGAGAGAAGCACAAGGGTAGCTTTGAGACAGTTCACATTCAGGATTCCCTGGGGCATGAGTTTGCTACCCGTTTGGGAAATGTGTTCACTCTTGGTAAAGGTAGTAAGCCATGGGTGTCTCTACCTAAGGGTAAAGGTATCAAGTTATCTATCATTGAAGAGGCTCGCAAGAGGATGGCTGCTCAATCAGCTACAACTGCTTAAAAATGATAGGTTGAACTTATGATAAATTTAACAGGTTGGGCCATGTTTCTCTTTGTTTAGAGAGATACCAATCTTATTTTGTATGTTGGATTTTAACATTTTTGTACTTGGTGCCGTTTAACTTTGTTTTGTTGGGAAAAGAGGTTGACTGAGTTTAAGATCATTCATTTGCTTTTTATGTGATAGTGTTTTGTTGGTCGCTTAGTTTAATTGCCTTGGCCATGAGATTATTCATTTATTTCAAAATGAGATTTTGGTTATAAAATTTTCAAATCCAACCTGGAGTTGGATTTCAAGTTTTGTTTAGTGCTCTAAATCCGTTTTCTATTTCCATTTTCATAAATTTTAAATAAACTGCTCTCTTTCTCCCGCCAGAAAATGTATAATAATACACGATTGCATCTTCAATACCATTTGCATCCGCAAGGTATAAGCTTTCCTATAAAAAATTGTTGGTCTTCAGGTGATAATTTTACTAGGCAAAAGATCACCTAAAAATTCATGAGAACTTTATTTAGCTCCAACATATAGTGTGATTTTATTTCTGCTACTTCGAGTGTCCAAATCCATAAGGTGATTTGATTGGAGATACTTGTTGAAAATCGATGATATGATGTTTCACATGTCTTTTCTTACAAAAAATAACTTAAATATCAAGTGGGTGCCTGGCAGATGGCTAATACAATCAAAATGCTAAACGTTGTAGTAAGATTTATTTAGACACAATTCAGCACTTAGTAGACAAACATGCATAACTAGGTACGCCTTCGTAGAAATAAACACGGTGTTAAACGAAATAGTGAACAAAACCTAACACAGAAATTGAAACATGCAATGTAAACTCTCACGTCAATTCCAACATTATAGTATATTGTTGCCTGCATAGCACAATAGAATGTTATAAAACAAAACAAGTATGTCAGTATCCATTTGAATACTCTAGTTAACAAGAGGAGTGTTGAGTTTTTTCTTGACAATTTGGCCATTGACTTCTGAAATGATTGAAACTTCCTTGACATGAGCAGTTTTCCACTTATCTCTGCTCTGCAATTTATGAGCGAAAAAGAGGGACATGCCCATAAGGGTGAGGTCATCAAGGCTAGTAAGGTGATTGAAGCCATCTGGTAAGTTAGTTAGCCTTGGACAATTAGCTATCAGAAGAAACTGAATTTCTGGCATAGAACCCTTCTCAATAGGCATCCAAGTAGTCCAATTTTCCATGCCAAGAATCCTCAACAGTTTGAGCTTAGGAAATCCTCCCGGAGGGATGTTAACGATGCTGTTTACGTAAGCTGAAGATGCTAATGTCAGAATAGCTATGCTTGGAAGCTTTCCAAGTATAGGAAATGGATCTTCTGTTAAGAAGTTCTTGAAAAGATACAATGAGTGAAGGCAACTAAGAGAATCGAACCATCCTGGCAGTTTTTTCATATGGACTTGGAGTTTGAGTTTCTCCAAGTGCTTAGTGGACTTTGTGAGAGATTCCATTTGTATGTTTTGCTCAAATGGACTCTCACTTAACACTGTTAAGGACCTCAACTTGCTCATCCTTTCTAATGATTGGCAAAAATCTCCGCTGTTGGCTTGTGTCATTTTCCCTATGTAGACTTTCCTCAAGCTTGTTAAACTTCTAAGTTGTTTAACTAAGTCTTCATCTGATTCAATTCCAGATAGTGTTTGTAGCTTCACAAAGTCTTTTCCCCCACTAGCCATCTTCACAAATCCATTTTCTCTGTCACGGAAACTTGACAGGAGAAGATGTCTTAGGTGTTGCAGCTCATTGATTCCAGCAGGCAAATGTTTAACTTCTGTGTTTCTCACATCCAATGTCTGTAGATTCCTCAAATTCTTCACTGATTTTGGAAGTTCGTTTATCAAAGTCCCTCTTAAATCTAAGTACCGGAGATGAATCAAATTACCAATCTCATTTGGTAGTTTTTCTAGAGGAGCATTTTGTAAATCTAGAACTCTTACCAATCTGAGCTGCCTTAGCAGTTTTTGTAGAGCAGAAAATGACAATTCATTTACTCTAAAAAAGAGAAGGGACCTCAGATTCAACTTACTGATGTCTGAGGGGATACTATCTGCATCTTCATAGATTGCAAGTCTCCTTTGTCTCTCTTGAATGGTCTTGTCGGCTTCTTCTATGATGGATCCAAATTTCTCTTCCTGTAGCATTTGATTGGCCACATCACGCACTAGATCATGCAGCTTGCACGCTTTCACCACATCTCGAGCATGTATAGTGACTGCTTGAATCATACTCCTGTCAGTAAGCTGCACAAAGTAATGGTTCGCGACCTCTTCCTCTGTTCTCTGAGCAGTTCCCTCAACAAACCCCTCGGCCACCCACATTCGGATCAGCCTTTTCCTTCCAATCTCATAGTCCTCAGGGAACAAACCGAGATAAAGGAAACAATACTTAAGGTAAAATGGAAGGTGATTATAGCTGAACAACAAGGCCTTGTTTAGACGCTCAATGTCTCGGTTATGGTTTATTTCCCAATCTAAGGTATCGAGAACAGATTGCCACACACGAGTATTTCTTCCCTTACACGACAATAAGCCTCCGATGGCCACAATTGCAAGAGGCAAACCTCCACATTTTCTCACTATGGCCTCTGCGAATTCCTTCAAGTCATCAGGACAAGTCCCCTGAGATGATCGAAACGCCTTCTTGCAAAAGATTCTCCAAGATAATTCATAAGGGAGGGGTTGGAGATCATAGATGTGGAAATTATCCTCAAGAGGAGATGCTATACCGCGAAGTCTTGTTGTAATTATGATTCGCCCTTTTCTTCGCGGAAATGCATGTTTAAGCTCTTCCCATAGGTTATCATCCCATAAATCATCAAGAACCAGCAAGTACTTCTTGTCTTGCAAGTAGTCATTGATCCTCTCCAGTAACCATCCCTCATCCATGGCACCCATTACATCCAGAGCTGGCTCTCCTCTACTAGCTATGAATCCAAAGAGGATGTGTTTCAAGACATCCTTTAAATTACAAGATTGTGACACGAAAACCCAAGAATGGCAATCAAACAACGCTTTTGACTTCTTGAAAACTTCTTTCACAAGAGTAGTTTTGCCCAAACCCCCCATACCAAACACTGAAACCGCGAGGAAATTCTTCACATTCCCTTCTAATACGAGTTTCATTAGCTGTTCAACATCATGTTCAATTCCCACAATATCGTCTTCTCGAACAAAAGGGGATGCTGCACCAGGCCCTCTAGAGGACATCCCACCAGTGCCTCTATAGCTACTAGCTGCTAATGCATCTTCACACATCATTAATCCATTGATAACATATCTATCTTTTCTTTCTTTGACTTCAATGACTTGTTTCTTGAGTTTTCTGATATGAGAGCCAATTTGATACCTTATTTTCAAGTACTTAAAGAAGTATAAGCTATTCCAATGAGTAGTAGCCATTTGAATAAGAAATTCATCAATAACATCTTCAGCATTAAAAGCCAAGATTCTTACCTCTTTTACCCAACCAGCCACAGTTTCATCTCTCTGTTGCCTCTTGTCAGCATCTCTTAGAAAAGCTACCATGGCTTCAAACTCTTTCTTCATCCACTCAATTTCATCTTGCACACCTGATAGAACATTTCCTTCTTGTATTAACTGATAGCCTAGCCTTCTCAGAAAGAATATGATTGCAGCTTCAGCCATGTCTCTAGACTTGCTTTCACCTTTTGAGATCAGATTGATCCAAGTCAACTTCTCTATTTTCAATGTTGATTTGAGGTATTTTTGTTCTTGTTTTCCTTTTGGACAGATGAAATAATTAGAAGAATAACTGTGGCATCTATTTGTCAGTGTGAACTACTTTTTTTTTTTGTGTGTGGGGATGTGGAGAGGGGGTGGGTAGTAGGGAAACAACAAAGAAATACCCTTTTTGCTTGCATGTCTAGGAAAAATTACTTAAATACACAACACTTCTTTATCTGTTCTCAATATTTCCACACTCTTTTATTAAAATACAAAAATCCCTTATTTTCCCCCAATTCAACTTAACCGGATACTTTATTAGTTTAAGTATCCGCCCGTTATTAATTAAAGTATCCGCGCTGCTATATTATGCATCCGCTCGTTAATTAAGTATCCGTGCTGCTAACAACTTAATAATTTAAGTATCCGCCTGTTACTAATTAAAGTATCCGCGCTGCTATATTATGTATTCACACTGCTATATTATGTATCCGAAAAACACTAAAAAAAGGAATTTTTGATAATTAATGAAAAAGTAGGGAAAGGAAGTAATTTCTTTCTTATACTATGTCATTTGCCTAATTTTTACTATAGAAAAAGACCTAAAATAGCCCTTAAACTATTGAAATTGGTACAAAGATATCATCCATTGACCCATTGGCTCCATAATATCCCAAAAATCTTAAAACTATTGAAATTGGTATAAAGATATCCTCCGTTACCTATTGGCTCCATAATATCCCAACGTCAATCTTTATGGACCTATAATGTCCTTATTGCATATAAGCCCTATTAGCAAATATAATAAGAGTTCTCATTTAATACGTGACCCTGATTCATTGGGAATTTAATCCCTTTTTTTTTTTTTTGGGTTTTCCACCCAATATCAATATTACATTCGAGTCCAACTAATCCGGATTTGCTTCAAGGGCCCCATTTGGGGGTACAGCTCCCTACCACCCATCCACTCTTTTTTTTTTTTTTGGATTGAACTATACGGAAGGTAACTTAAAAGCTACTACACCCTCTGAAACATAAGTACCAAAAATACTCCATTGTTCAACTTGAAACAACTACAAGACATTGGAGTTGATATTAAATAGAAGATAATATCTGCTTCTGATTTCTGGTTAATATACCAACCGTGTCTTCAAAAGTAGTTCACATTATGTGCTGGATACAAGCTACTACACTAGCATTCTCCATTTGCTTTACAGGATAATCCAAAGTACATTCACAAAAACATACCCAAAGCTTTCTATAAAAAATCTACACTTCTGGGGCGAAGATCTTCAGCAGATGCTGCTTAAGCGTCACAGCAGCATCAACAAACAACTGTTTTGCAGTTAGTTGGTCTTGTTGCCACATCTTATCAATCACCCAATATATGCTCATGTTCACCGACTTCATCATAGGGAAAGATGATGCTGCTGCTGGAATCAACAGATCTTTGTTGATGGGGATGAAAATAATTTGCCTATCCTGCAAGGAAGAAACAAATTCTCTTATCATTGACGAAATAACCTGGACCATCTTGTAAAAAAGTAACTAAAATCTGCAACTGAGGGTTTCTTGCATACTCATGTATCTATGATCATAATTTGCCCGGGTAGTCTAGAATTTGATGCATCAACATGGAAGTTTTTTTTGGCTTACAAACTTATTTTTGTTAATTTAGATGGTATGAATGGCCAATAATCAGGACAAATCATAAGATTGTGAAAGTACAGAGTTCAAGGGGTGTTCTTGTTGCAAAGTCGGATTACAAGTTATGGGATTTTACGATGATTTTTTTGCATGATGCCTCATCAAGTCGAAACAAAGGTTATTTTGAATGTATGTACAGTACATGCACAGAACACAGATGCATTTCACCTAAAGAAGTTTATGTCAAGCACCTCTGTTTACATTTTCCAGACGAATGAGCTCACCTTGATAGCCTGGGGCATCTATCAGCCTCACTCATCCTCATCAAAGTCCATAAGGAAGTCTGTTAAATTTTCAGAATCGTCTACAGCTTCCTCCAGAGACATGTCTTTCTTTTTGGGTTTACCCTGCAAGGTCATGAAGTGCATGCTGTTGTGAAACTCCAAATACAAATTACATTAAGAAGAAGACAATTGGGTTGAACTTCCGCCACCATTTTTAAATTTATTTTTTCATGAATTTCTCAGAGAAAAAAGAAGGGAGGGGAGGGAGGTGGGTCTGAAGGAGTGGCTCATTCTATTGTATAAAATTTGTATTCCATTATCTCTAAGCACACAGGGAAATTTCCTTAGGGGAATGATTTGCTACAAACTAGAGGGGTCAAATGGGCGGGTTGGGCTGAGTTTGAGAATGTTAAAATGGGTTGAGTTAATAAATGAGCGGGTCATTGACCCGCTTAAATGTTGTTTGGGCTGAAATGCGCTAAAAATCGGGTTATAACCCAACCTGCTCAATTCTTACTAAGTTTTAAATTCAAAGTTTGTTTCTAATAATTGGTTATGAGTACTTAATAAAACTTTCCTTATATTATGACTAATGGACATGCTTGCCTATACAACTGGGGGAGGTGAAGTAATGCTGAAAATTAAAAGGAAGAAATGGAAGCAGTTTCAGAAACAAGTGATAGCTGCGAGTTGGGGGGCAATGATCTACCATACTAGGAGAGCCCGGAACTGGGAAATTTTCAAAGGAGTACATATAAAAACAGCTGACATACACACACAAATTAAGAGGGAGATTTTACATAGAATAGACATACTGTTCATCAAAGAGAGCTAGCAGATGTAGTGTTTTTTTGCAAAGGCTGAAAGTGTAACTAGTTTTGTGTTTTGTTGGAGGCTTGAGCTGCCGTGTTGTGCTCAAGGGCTCTTTAGGTGTATGTTTTTGCTTTAGTAATGGTAGTGCTTACATGGTTACCAAAAAAAAAAAGCATATAAAATTAAAAAAATGTTTTTTATATTTAGACAATATTTTTTTTATTTTTGATGACAAGGGAAACCCGCAGTCACTACCCTTTGGGTGTGCAGAGGGTAAAACCCCAGCTCCTATGCAATAGCTCACAAACCACATAGGAGAGGTAACCCGCACTAGGCAAGCCTGATGCGACGAGCTCGACCCAGAAGGCAAACCCCTTGCTTTCGCTGGCAAGGGGTTTCGAACTTGAGACCTCCAACATGGAAGTCCCAAGCTCAAACCACTGGGCCACCCCGAAGGGTTATTTAGACAATATTTCTCATGCTGCATATTACCCCAATTTTAAAATAGGCTGAACTAAGTGGTTCAAAATGAGCCCAGCTAATCAAATTAACAGGTCATTAACCCACCAAACATAAATGGCATGGGTGGGTCATGATTATTTGGGCTGATTTTGCCACCCCTACTACAAACCATGTAGCAAAGGACATATAGAACGAAAAAACAGCAGTTTTAGACTTTTAGGTAAGTCTAGACATCAAGTAAAACTAGATTGTTTACCAAATATATAGCATAGCAGTATATAACAAAATCAATCACCCTTTCAATGGTTTCAACAAATTGAGCCATAAGATCAGAAAGGAAACCAATAAATCGATGATCAGTAGAAAGGAAATTACCTTTGATTTGCTAAGCTCGGGATTACTTTTCAAAACACTCCAATTGCGTGTAATTTTCTCATCCTCCTCTTCACCTTCAGCCTCACTTCCTTCTTCTTCATCCTGAACCACCAAGAGAAGTTACTTAACATAAAACTAATGATTAATATACAAGGTCAACGTAGCAAATTAGAAAATTTAGAAGTTCAGAATGAAGCAAAACAAAGTTCATCAAACATCAAAATTAAAACGAAGTAAAAATAAGAATGATCTCACATCATTTTCACCAATGTCAACAGCTCTTGCCATAGCTTCATCAATTTCTGCCACCTGTTGCAGAGAAGAAAGTACTTTTACTGAATAGATTCAAGGAAAAGGAGACTGGGTACTAATGGTAAGCAATCTGATTGTTGATGATTGTAAGATTATTTGATGCATATGAAAAGAATGAAGAATGAAGTAGACAACAGTATGCTAAAGTTACATTTTTTCAATTTTATGTGCAAGCTAACTGCAACATATTTATGCCTGGGATCTAGAGTAGTTTTGCTTGTACATCCTAAAAAGAAAATTCTTTCAAGAGAGGTAGGTGTATTAAAAGATATCACACCAAGAAGGTGCAATTAAAAGTATTTACAGTCAACCCAGAGAGTGTATCCCTTCCTATTCTTTAAGAGTATCTATGAATTCTATCACTGCTTCAACATCATTTGCATCTATCATTTCTCTCTCCAAAAAGTAAATTCTAGAAACAACAAATAGATAACTATTCAATTGAAACTTTTTACATTTCTAACAATTCGTTAGCAGCAATGCAATAAAACAACAAATGCAACTGCAAGGAATAGTACTTTTTACACAAAACTCAGAGAATGAAACGAAGTATTGTAAATACCTACGAAAAGTTATTACCTCAATTTCTTCCGTCTTCTCTTTGGCCAGAATTTTCTCTAGCTCCTCTCTTGATATTATTTTGCCATGCTGATAACAAAATGTTCCGACAAAACCCGGAACATAAATCAGTAAATGATAGGCTAATAAAACATAATCACTAAAACAGGTATATCAACTCTATACACAGCCGATAACAACTATACTTGTAGCCTTTTGTTTTTGAGTTAACATGACAGCTAAAGAAGTATGCTACAACATATTTACCATACAAACAGTTATCTCCAACCACCAAACCTAATCTAGAATTCTTTTGATTAGATTCATTTCATTCACAAAGCCCAGTAAAGTCAAATCTTCATCAAGTGGATCTATCAGCAAGATTTGGCTTGACTTAACTGGCAATTCCATCTCAATTTTCTTTGACTTACCTTCATCTACAAGACCTTTTGCCTATTTCCTGATCTCAAAAGTAAAAATAACACATTTAGAGAGATGTTATTCATATACCTCATTAGCTATACACCTAGTTGTTTGCTCATAACAATTTGACAAATTGCATATCCCTCAAGTCTCAATTAATCAACTAAGCCTTGATACCAAATTAGTTGGAATCAGCTGAATGAATCCCCTAAATGTCCCTGAGGGGATGACTAAGCAGTTGACATATAGAAATAACAACTTCAAGATTCTAACTACAACATTCAGTGTGAGCCGATCTGCCCTAAACTTGGTGGTTGTAGCAGGCTACTCGTGAATTAGTTGATGCGCACACAAACTGGCCCGAAAACTGTCATCATTTATAAATTCATTTGCATCTATTCCACTCTATATGAATCCATTGCCTCATCTTTTAACACAATTTTAAGGATGCTCTAATACCAGCCTATGTCTCATTCTTAGCTCTAAAGGATTATAAATCTCTCATTAGAATAAGCATGGGATCTCATGTAAGTGGCACAACAACAACGAATCCCTAATATCAACAAGAAAGTATAGCCTACACAGATAGATCCTTTGCTTTCATTGTATCCATGCTAAATCCACAATGATTCTGATTGGTTTAGGATAACCATCAAGTTTACTGGAAACATTAGTTAATATCTATCCAGCTAGTTGAGAGATTGAGCCTCAGTATCTTTACAAAGTAAATAATGCAACATCTTGTATGGAGGCAAAGAGCATAAACAGAATTTAGCACAGTATCACCATTTCCATTTGCTTAAACATGAAATCCATCACTAATTCTGTAGCTTTTGATAATAAACACTACATGTAACAGCACTCGGCAATTAATTTGAAGTGCATATGTGAAAAAGGAGGTCAGAAATAAGGTCAATAAAGTTACTAGGCAGCAAGACCATGTAGGGTATTGAATAGCAAGTTGCTTAACCAAACCTCTTTCAAATAGGCCAACATATTTGGTGTTGGTTCATGGAAGTCTGGACCCCTGAAATCAATCACTTCATCTGGATCTTGAATGTAATTAATGGTCGGGTAAACTGGATCTCCACCCCAAACTGCATAAAAAGAAAAGGAAAAAGCAAATTGTTGATTTCCAGTCAAAAATGGAAAAAGAAAACCCAAACAAATCAGAACAAAACACTTATAATTCCAATCATTCTGATCAGACAGGATAAAGAGATAGGTACTTTTTGTACCTCAATCATTTCAGGCTATGTTTAGATATTTTTGTTCAAAAAAATAATTTGAAAATACTTTTAATGGTAATTTCCTGAAATAATCAAGCTAAAGATCCCTATAACTACCCAAAAATAAATCATTGTCCGCAAACTTCTAATCACCTTCACTTCTAAACCAGCTGCATACACAGATACTCAAAAGTCACAAGAAAAAGCAGGAAAAATTATAAAGTATAGTTCAGCCAGAGGGAAGGAAGATACTTTGTTTTATTTGATCCTCCCGCATTCTCATGGCCAATGGGTCACGAGGAATACGCATATCAGTTCCCATCATTATGCGGTATTCACGATCTGTTTGATGGGAGAACATTTCAATGAGTTGAGTGTTCTCGTCTTCACCAGTCTCTTCAAAATGCTTTTGAATGGCCTCTCGAGAAGTATCTCTCTTCCAAGCTTTGACCCACTCTGAGTAGTATGCAATAGGACCAATCTTTTCCATTTTTTCTTTTTCAGCCTGTAGCCTGCATTGCCCACTTATTAGTTCTTAGTTCCAATAGAAAGTGTATTCTGGTTCATCTTGAACTGGAAAACTAGATTGCCAAGTCATTTAGCAACTCAAAGATCTGTCAATTAGGGAACAACACAAGGGACAAGTTTCAGAAAATATAAAATCAAAATGGGTCTCCAAAGGCAATGACCTAATGGTTAAGGCATGGGAGTAACAACCTGAAGATCCCAAGTTCAAATCCTAACCACACACTTGGTGTGATCCCCTTTGTTCTAACCTTAGTGGACAAGATTACCTAGGCAACATGTGCATGTAGGCTTATAGGTAGGCCAGCAATAGTTGAGATGCGTGCAAAGTGCCCCCCACACCACGGATATAAAGATAATACAGGTAAAAAATAAACAAAAACAAAATGGAGGTCAAGACTTGACTTTCCATCGAAAACCAACTTCAGAGAGCTTGCAGAACCAATAGCTTTTGAAAGCAGTAGATAAAGGCAAAATGTAAGAGAAAGGACATGGAGTTGATCATCAATCTAACTAAAGTTTGACAATTTATTCATGTTAATGCTATTTATAATATACATAACCAGTATGAAAAAAGAGAAGACACAATACTTGTTGCTTAACTCTTTGTAATAACCACAATAAGCTTCTCAAGAATGAATTAATACAACAGTGTACAAGCACATAATAAGACATTAAGGCAATGGAATTTGCTTATTTTGTACTTTCTCTCAATTTGCCTATCCTTTCTTTGCAAGGTTCCTTGTAGCCTATAGTTTCTGATATGCATTCATGACAGACGAAGGGCTTATGAATAAGTTTAATACCAAACGAGTGAGGTTCATCTTTTAACATTTCAGTACAAGAGACTACAACTTGTAGAATAGAACATGTGATGCAACATTATTAAAAAAGTTGCTGATTCTACCTTTCCTCCTTATATAAATGTCTCCTTGCTCTATAGAGCGCAGTCTCTGTCAATGTAGGATGCTCACCATAGAGCTTTACTTGTCCTGTCTCTGCCATAGCTTTAAGAAACACCTGTTCCAGGAAAAATAATAATAATCTCTAAGTCAGAATGTTAGTGATGATATTAATTTGAAATTGCCCGAGAACCATGGGAGGTTTAAAGTGGTTAGAAATGTATTATTTATATTCACCGCGTCTCTACTGAAGATATCATTTTATCCACTTTAGATTTGTATTTATCTATTTTACAATGTGTCATCGAGCAAGCAACTTGCATGAGCAGTATTGACATCCAATCTTGATTTAGCACAATTAAATTACACTGATTACACACTTAAACAATTTATATTTCTTAGTAGTATTTATTTTCAGTACTGACCGTTTCAACATCAGGGCGCCGCCTCTGCCATCTAGACCATTGCTCCTTCTCAGGTTTTCTCCAATTCCACCATAGTTCTTCACTAGTAAGTGGCTTCTCTATTTCCTTCTTTGCCTTTGGATCAATAAATGGGTGGGGCCGTCCATGTCTTTTATCCAGCTCATAGCCTGTCAGCTCCTCTTCATCTTGTTCAGGCTGATAAATGACATACTCTGAGGAAAGATCCTTTGGCTCTTCTGGTACATTATCTGGAGTCTCCAGAGGATCATCAGAAATTACATTGATTTCTGAAGGCTGGGAAGTGGAAGCAGATGCCTTGTACTTCTTTCGTCTACTTCCAGGAGTTTTTCCATAAGATGGAGTTCCAGTTGAAATACCATCTGGTTCAGGAGCCCTGGCGGCCTGAACTCGACTAGCTGTACCTTCTGGCCAGTACTCCTTCCCAGGAATACTAGCGCGAGCTCCAGATGCTGGTTCAAGTTGCCCAGAAGTGGAGTCCATATAACTGTGATAAGGGAAACGCTCGACAGACACCTGCTCAAAGGAACCCTGGTTCTTTTCCTTGTTCTCACACTTTATACAAGGAGCTAAAGGAGCCTTTTGAAATGGACTACTGGAGACAAATTTGAGCTTCCATATTGAAACAGGAGTAGTACCTGTAAACAATGTCTGGGTGGTTCCCAGCACAATGCATACTCCTATTAATGAAAACTTTTCAAAATGATGAGAAACCTTGCTACAATATAGAGCACCTTCCTTTGAGCATGCATGTTGAACATATTGCCAGACTGTACTTTATAATGTTAAACAAGAGATGCTTAAACATAAGATAAGACAGGGATGGCAAATTCGTGAATAAATTCTGCCAGAAATTTAAACCTTCTGCTGTTCCCAATTACTATATGAATTTCACTGTCGCAGAGAACAATATGTGCTAGTGTCCAATGCAGATGCACATGTATATATAGTTCAGCAAATGAAGAAGTAAACATAGGCAGGTAAACTTGGTGTGCATGTGGAGGGATAAGAGAGAGAATCAGCTATTAGGTGAGCACACATATTAATTGTATAAAGGAAATTTGATGACATAGTACTGCATATCAAAAACAGAAATAATTACTACCATGAAACTACAAATAACTCCTAAAATCTAACCAAACTCTCTTTGCCGTTGAAGTAAAACATTTCCTTCAAACAGCTTTCCCTGATCGTCAGCTCTAACACTCTAGAATAGGTTAACCTTATCCTCAAGCATATAAAACCCTTGCACATTAGGATCGATACATCAAACTCCCAGGAATATCCCTGTATCTCTTGAATAGAATTGAATATATAAACCATTTTTAATCTCTTCTAGACCTTAGTACAAAGTTTTTACCCAATCTCAAAGGGGCGTGTCACCCTTATAGCTCACCCAAACCACTCCCCAACCCTGGCCATTCATTCCTCTCAAAGATACAAAAAGTCACAGATAAACCTAAAATCAACAATTTTGTAAACGTGCTCCTTTTACCTATCATCTAACAATAACAGGTAGCCAATACAGAGTATATGATTCTATTTTCAGTGGTGATTAACAAACATAATGAAGATGTGTTGGAGTTCATAATAATCTAAAAACACCTTCCGATAAGGGCAGCAAATACTAGGCACAAATCCATCAGTAGAGGCTACAATTCTCAGTCCTCTATCTGCAAATAACAAAAAAAAAAACCCAATTTTACAAAGCAAGAAGAATTTTTTTAAAAAAAATCAAAGCTGCACCGAGTAAAATACAGTTACCTTGATACAAGGAAGTTGACAATACAGAAGCCATTGCTGAAACTGGCAACTCGAAATTGCAATAAATAACTCCTCTTATCCTTTGTCCTTTGCTTGCTTGTGTTTTAGGAGGGGCTTAGGATAATGTGACTCTATTCGGTCGGGTTGTCCCTGAACCGTCGTACAAATTTGGACCGGTTTTCCAGACCGGCCTAGTCACCAATTTTTCGCTTTGATTTCCACCTGTTTAAATTATTGACACAAATTATTAGTTTCATCCCCGAACTATTGATTGTCTTAAAAAATACCTTTTTACTTGACTAATTGAAGCTAAATACACCCCGATCTTGCAACATTAGTGAAATACACTCCTAAATTCTCGTCAAGTTTAGGGGTCCTTTCTCGATTTTTATTAAGAACTTCATGCTACTACAAGAGTTTGAGACCACTTGCTATGTCATGTTGCATATCGAGAGTGTATCGAGTGTGTATCTAAGTTTAGTTAGTCAAGTAGAGGGGTGTTTTTAAGACTCTCAATAGTTTGGGGATGAAACTAATAATTTGCATCAAGTTTAGAGGTGTTTTTGATACTTTTCTCTTGAAAAAAACCAATACTTGTACAATTTATTGCGGAATGTCCTTACACTATGTGTCAAAAATGCCCTTCGTTTATAGTTTGGCTCAGAAATGCCCTTACCGTCAATATTTTGGTTCAAAAATGCCCTTAAACTATGCGTAAGAAACAAATATGCCCTCCGTTTGTAGTTTGGTCCAAAAATGCCCTTGCCGTCAAATACTTTGGTCCTAAAATGCCCGTATTGTTATTTAATAGGTCAAAAATGTTCATTTTCCAAATAAATATATTATTATTTTCTTTTTATCACATTCTTTTTCTAATAATGTTTTTTTAAAATTAGCAAATGTTTATCTTACTTCAATTAAGCAAAAAATAAAAAATGAAAATATTTCTTATTTTATTATCATTATTTTTTATCGTTATATAAATATAAATTAATGATGGATATACTATTATCTTATATGACATATATTATCTGCCGAAAGGGTACATGAAATTATTCTATTTTAATTGATAAAATGAGATTAAGAAGAAAACGAATATTTCCTACATTTTTATTCGTTAAAGTGATTTTAGAAGAAAGAAAATAAGAATAATGTTCTTTAATAATTTTTTTATTTAGAATAAGATGTGTTTAAAAAGAAAAAAAGTAATATTTTATTCGGAAAAGGGAATTTTTGACCCATTTTGTAACTATAGGGGCATTTATGGACCAAAGTATTGACTGCAACGACATTTTTGAACCAAAGTATTGACGGTAAGGGCATATTTGAGCCAAACTATTAACGGAGGACATTTTTGTTACTTTCACATAATTTAAAGACATTTTTTACCCTTTTCCCTTTTTTAAATATTAACTCTTAGGAATAAAATTAGGGATAAGGGTCTGAAAAATACCCCAACTTTGGTCGGATTTGCTGTTGCGATACTAAACTTTCATAAGGACCTATTACCCCCTAGACTATTTAACACCGCATTTTTTACCCCCTAAACTATTTAATAGTGTATTTTAAAGGTATATATGTGTCCACGTGGACACATTACTATTTATAAGTTTGCATTATTTTTTATGTCCACTTGGGCAAATATATATGTTTAAAATACGGTATTAAATAGTCTAGGGAGGTAATAGGTCCTCATGAAAGTTTAGTATCGTAACAGCAAATCCGATCAAAGTTGAGATATTTTTCAGACCCTTATCCCATAAAAATAAGTGTAGTAATCTTATAGCTAATTTTTTCAAGAGTAAAATGAGATCTTTTGGGATGAATAATTTTGTAGGTGACTTTTATATAGAACTCGGTAATTCTTTTACTTTGATTATGTGTGAATAAGAGAACTGATATTTTAATAAATAAAAATAATAATTAAGGATATATCGTTTGATGCACTTTCAATTTAAGCATGTTACTTAAGCTCATTTCGTGTCCCTTCCTTCTTTGTGTACCAAAAAAGGTATTTCAAAATGAGATATTTTGGAATGAGTAATTTTTCACATGACTTTTATAAATAAACTCGAGACTTTTTTGCTTTGTTTACGAATGAATAAGAGAATTGATGTTTTAATTAAATGAACATAATTTTTATAAAATAATCCTTTTGATGCACTTTCAATCTAAGCATATTATTTTAGTTTGCTTTCTACCATTTTCTTGTTTGTGTACCTTAGAATGCCTGGAAGAATATGCATGTCTTTCATTTAAAGATTCAACTAATTCACATTCATTTTATTTATCCACCTGATGAAATATATGGTATATGTTGTTACATAAATGTATGTGAAATTTAATCATCATGATTTATAACATTTTAATTAAAGCCAATCAATATGAAGATGAACTCTTTTTAGTATATCATTTTAAATTCAAATACTAGTACTATATTAATGAAATAGTATCAAATGTAAATTAGAAGTAGGTTAATGAAATAGTATCAAATGTAAATTTGAAGGAGCAAGAAGAAGTAATGTTGGCATTGCCAGAGGAAAAGCTTCATATATATCATTAAGGACAAACATAAGTGTGAAGGCCCCAACCCAAAATTATGGTAGTGGGGAGGCTCAGCTCAATATCAAATCTCTCTATGTTTCTTCATGGTACAAGACGGAGAGGCACGAATCCTATACAACGACTAGTACACAGTATATAAATCCGGATGTACAAATCCATGGCGATGACCAATGTTCCATGTTAAATCATATGTTAAACTAAAACAGCCATCTGAACAGATACAACAACACCTTCATTTCTTCGCGTAAGATCTCAAGGTAGGAAGAAGATGATGCAATTCAAATTGCGCACCCATCAAGCAGCAAAAAATGGTCATATCACTTTAAAAGTTGCAGCAATGGGCCTTACCCTTGAGCAAATTGTTCCACAGACAGAACATCTGTCGTGGAGACTGATAATGAGCCGTGAAATAGTCTTCCATACATCCATATTGACAGAACTTCCAGTTGTGAGAGTACTGTACAGTAGTGGAACTGTTGTAACTCTCAACCCACATACCCATGCTCACATCCTCCATTTTGAAAATCTGTCAATTTGATGGGGGAATGCGTATTTCAGAATCTACACTTTTAACAGATTTATGATTAAGAAGAAAACGAAAGAAATAAGCTGTTACAAACCCGCAAGCTTTGGTTCCGATATTGAGAAATGATATGTTTGGCAATATCACTTGTAATTATATATCCTGGTCCATTAGCATAAGGGGGTATACATCTTCTGGCCACTCCTGTTGCACAAGTCAATATTTTCAAATTAACTTTAGTGTCTATAAGAAATCAACAAACAGTAGCCATGATTTTGAATATATACTCTATTATCATATAAATCTCTGTACCTCAAAAGTTACGGCCCATTTTCCTGTACGAAGTGGTCTATGCAAGAGATTAAGATTGCCCATGTAAAGAGATCGTCTAGGAGGGACACGTTGAATTTCTCTTAGGACTGCATCTATCCTAATGAAAGTATCATCGTCACATTTCATGATATATGCAGCTGTCACATTCTGAACCTGCAACAGATATTGTGGGCCATGTCGATAGAAATTAGGACACGACTAAGCAGTCCAGAAAAGAAGAGGAAGATGAAGCAAAGTGCAGAACTCACCCCATACTTGCAGATGGCAATAGTTTTAAGAACCACTAGCTCGTATCTATCGATAAAGGGGACAATCACAATGTCCCCAAAGTAATCTGCTTCCTTCTTCAATATAGCATTTAACTCCTTTCGTGGATTCTACACAGTTAAATGTTAATACATAAGTACATTCGTTGAGGTTGAATTCCAAACTGGCTATTGGCAGAGATGATAGCGTAAGTTCTACAAACAAATAAGTTGGTGAAAGGAAACCTAAAGAGAGGTGTTTGCAAAACAGCATAAAGTAGTACTGAGGACAAGAGCACAACCTTTTTCCTGTTTGTGGATTTTCTCCTTTACCTGAAAGCAACTCTACTTTCGTTTGACCATCATTAATATATGAAATATTCAAATGAAAGCGCCTCAGAAGTCCTAGGATAGAAATGGCAATACTACTTCCAAGTGAACAGTATGGCAAGTTAATACCTCCCAAAAGATGATAAACTATGTAATGTAACAAGCATGCAGTGTGCTCTAGGGATAGCCATCAAGATTGAAGGATCTTTCAAGTAGGTCAATACAAAGGGGGTGATTGTATTGACATCTATTATCCGGCTACTAATGAATACAATAGTTGTGCCAGAGTTTATGACAAATATGCTAAATGCAACTTGAGATTTTGTAGTATTTTTAATGGAAAAAAATTGAATATAGTTCTTACGGAAAAGCCACATTATACAGTCAAGCTCTTTATTGACACGGCACCACATTTTAGAGTTCCCTAACTGTATTTTTAGAAGTGGAGTAATTGGCACTAGATACACAACACATTGATCATCCTCTTGGTTTCTGTCTGCGTACATTTTAATTTTTGTTAGTTTGAAATTTGGGGGCTTCTAGCTGCATGAAACATCAAGAGTGTTTTTAGTCAATGATGATGAGAAACTCCCTATATTCCAAAAGAAGTTTAATGAGGAGTTGTAGCATGGAAGAGAGAGAGAGGAGAATGAAATTAAAAAATGTAATCAGAAAGTTCCCATAAAGAAACAGCAAATTCTTTTTAGTATTTTTCTTTCGATAAGGTGAACTGGTGAAGTGCAAATTCTTTTAGGATCTGGGAACACCCTTATCTAATTTTGAATGATAAAAATCACGACTTTCACTTCATCTGGAACATGGGAGGAGAGCTTATTGGCCCAACCAGATTAGAAGTAATGACTCTCCTGTCGAAATAAGATGCAGATGATATACCCATGATCACCACATCTATTACTGTCCCTAGGTTATTTGACAACATAAGACATTTCCCACGTCCTAGGCAACAGTGATACCAGCGTTGCTATGTTTTTCATCTATTATCCATTATCATCCTTCTCATTAATGATTTATGAATTGAGCTTTGTCATCGAGCTTCATATGTCTCATTAGATTATACTGCATTGTGGTTCTAT